ACCCCCCCCCCCCCCCAAAGTGGTAGATTTGTTGTTTTTCACGATGAGAAATGGGGGGCGGCGGTTTAAACAAGTGTTTCGGAACGACCACGATCGGTGAGTGACGGGGGTAACAACACCCCGGTGTTGAGTCCGCGGCGGTTGTCCGCCAACCGAAAAAAAACTTGCTTGTCGGTGCGAAATTCGCCGATTGGTCAACGCACCTGCGGCGGAATTTCAAAAACAGACGACTAGAGTAGGCCCCACAGGAGGAGGGGTTAAACGTCCCATGGTGTGTGGAAATACGTTGGCGATCGCGCCGACTCAAAACAAAGGGAAACATACAAATCGCAGCTGTGCTGCAGTACCCAACTCGGGTCGGTTAATCACGGCTGAAGCGTTCTGCGATTAAAAAATGGACGCATTGCGTCTGCGCGCATGCATATAACGCAATACGCAAGTACCCAAGAGAGAGGGCACTCCCCGCGTTGTCGTGCAGCCGTACCAGCAAGTATACAGCAAGTAGTTGTCATTTTTCACTCGCCACACATCCCCGCGGCGGCCCTTTTAAAAATTAGCCGTGAAAGGGCGGCCGGCCGGCTGTAGAGTGGGTGGGACTACGTCGTCACTATTTACCGGCTTTCCGCTCCTGATGCCGTTGCACCAATCGAGACACTTTCTACGCAAAAGAACGCACGTCTCAAGTCGGCCGGTTTGTCGCCCCTGCTGCCGCTGCATCAATTGAGACGGCAGTTTCAACGCAAGACGGACAGTACAACACACGATTCAATCGCTGACATATGTACGAGGAACCAGTATTCCTTGGCTGTTTTCCCAACACCCCCACCCGGGATGGCACAGAACCTTAACGTAGCTCGGAGAGCGAGAAAACGAGGATTCGGGGAGGGGGAGGAAAAATGCCTCCGTAAGCCGCTGCATCGATCGAGACAGACAGCAGTTTCAACGCACAAAACGCACGTTTTAATTGCCATCACAAGGGGGCTCAGTTTTCCCCTGGCTGCTGTTTCCCAACCTCCCCACAACGTAATCATAACTCGACGAGCGAGAACACGCGGGAAAAGTGCGTCCGGGAGGAGGAGAGAATGCCTCCATGAGTGAACGCCTGATTGACCACGTAGAACAACTATTCGAGAGACAAAACAAAAAAACAATGTCGCAGTAAATGGTACTACAGCACCACAACCACACGGCTCTTGGATGTAGGCCCTAGTGCAAAATAAAAAGAGGCAAGGGAGGAAGAAGGATAACTTGTGAAGCAACATGGAAATAAAAAGAGATTAAAATGTGTGTATTTACGGAACGAGACACTACACCTGGAGAGCTTCCGACAACAAGAAAAAGTGTAACGTAAAACTTTTCGGTATACACAGAAACAAAACGGACACAAAGAAAGAAGGTCGGACGAAAACAACCGGTTGAAGACAGCAAACAACCTTTCTGCTACCGCTGTGCAGCTGCTGCCGTCGCAACGGCCAGCCATCACAATCAGTCGCAGACGAGAGCACGCCATACACCCAACCTTCCCTACCCGCTCCCGGCTCTCGCCCCCTGTCCCCAGAGATCTGCCATACTTCACCTTCGGCAGCACGCGTTGACGAACAGCTTGCTCTCAGTAAAAGAAGCACACCAGGTATGATACAACAACACAGCCACGATACGATACCAACACCGTAACCGTCAACAGACACGTCCCAGAGAAACAAAAACGCCTACTTCCATAGACACCCAACAATAAAGGACCCGGCGAAGCACATATGATTGGCGTGCACAGGAGGAGCAAACGCGTGGCATGTAGCCTTCTCTCTAAGTTTCGCATGCAACAAAAGGACGAGAGACCAAACCAACAGCTGTATACAGGACGCCTCTCCACCCCTCCCCACACTCCCTCCCGACAGTGCCCAACGCTTTCAGCCACACCGTGCGCGAGGAAGTAGTTGGCTAGGCCGCAGACACATTACGCCTCGCCGGCAAACGCCGGTAGCACTAAATTACCCCTCAATGCAAGTGGCAAGAGGCCCCTCCGTGCCCGACTCCTTGTGATACCCGCCCGATCAGCAACATACCATCGACGTTCTCGGCAAGCCGCAGCAGTACTCAGTGGGGCCTGCCCACGCGACTTCTTGCGACGTCCCTTCTACATGCTCAAATAAGGTACACCTTAAATGGCGCCTCTCGGCCCGCCGGCCGACTGAACCGAACGTCCGTGGTTCGGTCGCGGCGATCGTGGCGAGATAAAAACGAGACGATGCCCATGTAACCCGAAAACGTGAGTCCCGAAGCGCATCTCCTCCCCCAAGCCGAACGTCAGCAGCAGCAACGCTTAACTCCCCTCCCTCCGCAAAACACGGCCGATTGGGCTAACAGCCTCGACGGAAACACGCCAACCGAGATACACCGATCACAATCCAAAAACCGACTTCCAAATCACGGGTCGCGTACAAGCTCCAGGCTCTCGCACGCAGACAGGATTGATCTTCCTCTTTGTCTCTCCAAACGCAGCACAAAGCATCATCGTCACGCCCCCGCCGCATCCCCGGTTGCGGCGGGACTAGTACCGTTTCGTCGCTGCCGGTACCGCACCGACTCCTCCTCGGGGACCGACATCGACGTCGACAACGTCGACGACGACGACCCGCCCCGCATCGCGCCGATATCCCCCTCAGCCTCGTCGCCACCTCCCCCCCGACCCACTCGCCCCGCCCCCGCCCCGGTCCCCGTCCACCCCTTGCTCAGCCGAGCCGCCGCCGCCGCCGCCGAAGAAGCGGAGTCGAAAGAACCCCGATAACCTCCACCTTCGCTATCGACTTCTTCTGCTGCTCGCTCGCCACCTTCCCGGTCCGCCACCGCTCCCAAGCGCGGCTGAGGGACCCACCCCCCCCGGCGGCGACGGCGGTCGAAGGAGTCGACCGGAGGAGGCTTTTCTCCGATGGGACCCATGTAGGCCACCGGGTTGACAAACAGCATGTCTTCGTCTTCGTCTTCGTCCTCTTCGGAGGAGTCCTTTTGTTAGTGAGCGGGTGAGTGGCGACCGGGGAAAAACATGTGTGGTTTAGTCCTGGTGGGTGTGCTTCCCCGTTTCGTAACACGTTGGACCGGTACGGATTTCCGAAGGCACTGAACCAAGACCGGAACGGTTTACTACTGTGAAGACAGCAACAACGGTTGATTGAACGCGGTTCAACTGGTCGGAGGAGTGGATCTTCCGGACAGAGAAGGCGTGAGAGACGAAAGACAGAGCACAACCCACGTCTCAGAGAAACTCCTTTCGTATCGCAGTACCAGAGACTCGTCTAGTGGGAACAGCCCAATCAACGTGCAGCGAGTGGGGGGGTAGGGAGGTAGACAGCCTTCGAATGAGGTAAAAATATTGCAAACCACCGCTCGTGTCAAACACTAAAGAAACAACTTTAACAAACGCATCGCAAGGGGACCCAACCCCGTCCCCCAGTCCGTCGCCGCCGAACGTAAACTTACGTCCTCGGAAGGAGCGAAGAAATTTCTGCCGTACCCCGGTGCCGGCGTCCGGCCCGCCACAGTCCCGGCGGCGGAACTAAACCCACCGCCACCCGCGGAGAAAAAGCTTCGGCCACCGTTGCCCTCGCTACTGAAACCGCCGCCGCCGCCGCCGCCGCCGCCACTGCTGCTGAACGCCATCATCTCGTCGTCCTCAAGGCTGTCGATCCCGCCGTAGTCTCGCGTCATTGCCGTCCCAGAGTCACGGGTCGAGGCCGCCTCCGCCGCCGCCGCCGCCCCCGCTGCAGCAGCCGCCGCTGCCTCCATCTCTCGCTCAGCGATCGCGTCGGCCTTTCGTCGGTAGTCCGTTCAGCCAAACAAATTCGAGAAAGATGGGGGGCATAGATGTATGCGGGGTGGAGGTTAAGGTAGAAAAACGGAGAGAGAGAGAGAGGGCGAGCGGAATCCGAGCAAAAGACCCCTTCAGGTGGCATACATGAACACAGACCCCGGGAGCGAGCGTAAGAGTAATCCGAGCTTGAAGCTACACCACAAAGATCGCTTGAGGTGGCACTCTTTCCCTCGCTCTAATCTGTTTCTATTCGAGTTGGAAGGAAGAGGGAGCTTTTCACCAGCGCCGGTGATATTTTTCAGGTCTGACAATAGCAGCCCATAGCAAAAGGCTACGGCAAGAGCTGTTGCCCGCGACGAATACGCAAGATTTACGACTTTGTCGAAAACATCGACCTCCTCTGCTGCTTGAACACAGCAAAGCTTGAACCAAACAAGGCCGACAAAAAGAACTCTACACCCGTCGGAATCATCAAACTCCCACATGCATAGGTACATGTACGTTCCAAGAAAATCCACCTGCTCTACAAACCGCTGAATTGATCAAGCTTCAACGTTCCCAAAACAACAACGAAAAAAACAAACTACATTGTAGCTCTTGTGCAAAGTCCGCTTGTTGCTGAGAGTCGGCGTCGAACTCCAAACAACGCGCGAACACGATGAGTTTCGCTCTTCTCACCTCAGCCTCCGCTGCCGCCTCCGCCGCGGTAGCCTCTAGGTCCTGATCCCCGTCCTTGTAGATCTCCTTGGCGTTGTTCAGCTGTGAGTTGATCGAGTCGAACTTGCCCTGGATCTGGATAGGCACACAGGGCGACAAGTAGTGCGTTGCACACAAAATGCTTTGCATAAGGAAACGCACGGGGGGTCTTACATTATAACAACCACAGCGAATTCGCCGTCGAACGGCTTTGCATAACGGATTACACGAGGGTCTTGCAAAATAACAAACAACCACAGGGAGTTTTCCCTCAAATGTTTTTGTGAAGCCTAGACGTAGAACAGGTCGTTGGCGATGTAGTAGCCCACGACAAAGGATATCGTTCTTACATAGTAGAGCGGGTCCGCACGTGGCGGGATACCGAGGCTTGCTGAGTTCCATAATCAGATTTTTGCGTTGTGTTAAACAGGAGAAGAGTGCAACAACAACAACAACAGTGGCAACAGCAATAGCAGCAACGACAACAACAACATCCACTACAACAACAAGAACCTAAACATCATCAACTACAACAATAACAGTGAGCGGCGGCGGTGGCAGCAACAAACTAACCTCGTGGCAAGCCTTGCACTCTGCCACAAGCGACTCCCTCCTTCGAACGAGAGCCCCCCTAGCCTCCGCGATATCGAAGATATCTCCAACATCTCCCTCGTAGACCTTCTCCAGTTCCTGCTCCACAATAAAGTTCAGGCAAATACAAAGAACCGATTTTTTTCGGGTCATGGGGGCACGAGACAAGCACAGGTAGTTGGGGAGGGGGGGGAAGCAAGCGCACAAGGATAAGAAACGCAAGGAGTGAGAGATGGAGGCACTCAGACTTGCCGACATGCAGACATTCAGGCAGGCAAATAGGTAGGCAGGCATTCAGACATTTACACAACAACCAGGCATTCAGAATTCAGATTTTTAGACAGACGCACAGACATTCAGACACTCATAGAGAGACAGACAGACAAACAGACAGAGAAAAGCTGTCCTTAGGGCCGAAAACAACAACGAGGCCGCACCCGGCGTAGATAGGAGGGGAAGTCGTCGACGAAGGGCATGAGGAAGAAACAGTTGAACTTCATCGCCACAGCCCTCGCGAAATGCTCCCTCCAGCTGAGCATGATGTGCTGCACCAGCGCCGACACAACGGCAGAGGTCCGTTCCGCGTCCCTCGAGCTACTCGCCTCCTCCATCAGCTGCTGGAGGTTGAAGTAGTCCTGCCGAAAAGAACCAAAGACAAAGAGACGATATTGATTCCAGACAGACAATACACACAACGGCAAAGAGGACAGAGAGACAAGAATCAGAACGAACGGAGGAGATAACCAAACAAACACAGCAAACAGAGAGAGAAGGAGACCCACTAAGCAGGCGAGAGTTCGAACACGATATCACCATCATTATCAGAACAAGAAAACCACACAAAAAAACAAACAAACAAAAAAATCGAAAAACGAGGGCCAACCTTCTGGCGCGTGACACTCCCAGCTCCCCCCAGACCCCCAGTATTGGCCGCCTCCCATTGGTCGAAAACGGCCCCGTCCTGGGGGGAGGGGGGGGGTCCCTCCTCCGAATTTCCCCTGCCACCCCCTCTCCGCCGCCCGCGGTTGCGGTTGTCCACCTTCCATCAAAGAAAGAAAAATAAAAGGAGTTCAACTGGTCTGCTGATCGAGGGGCAACGTGAGACAAATATCTGGGGGGGGGGGGGGAGTGTGCGAAGGGTAACTAAAGCAAAGCGCACGAAAAAGAGCAATCGGGACGGCGATCGATTTCGAGTGCAAGAAATCAGAAAAAATACTCCATACACAGAACGGGAGGGGGGGGGGGGCGTACTCTTATGTTTTGCATGCCTTAGCGGTTAGACCATTGACCACGCGTCCTCGAGAGGACGGAGCATTGTTCCCACAGGACCGATCACCGATGGCCAATCGTTCCTTCCTACTTTGCCAAAGGTGGCTCAAAAATGTCTTCCCTAGTTTGTCTATCCTAACGATGTCCCTTCCCGCCTTTTCAAACCACTTTCTACTCCCCAGTACCGCTACCGTCCTCTCCTCCCTATTCCATGCCTCAAACATCTCCCTGTACGTCCCTTGTATTTTTCTCAGCTCAGTCATGTACACTTCCCTCTCCTTTTCGTACCACGGACATTCCGCGACTACATGAACACTGTCTTCGCATTCGAAGCCGCAATCACATTTGAACTTGTCGTCTTCGTCGTCTACCGTCCTATGTCTTCGTCGACGTTCGCGAAGGCCTATGTCCCCGGTCCTGAATTTGACCTTAAGCTTTGTCCCTGCATCCATTGGTCCATGTAGGTACTCCTTGAACCCTATTCCTTCTTTCAACATTCCGTACACTTCTAGACCCTCCTTATCCTTGGATTCTTTCCTTAGATTCTGTTCTTCTCTGTCGGCACAAGCAACAGATATCTTCTTCTTGAACCCCTGTAGACCCTCCGTTTCAAGCGTTTCATCTTCGTCGATGTCCAATCCCTTCCATACGTCCTCTACAACCTTGACCCATTCCGTGGGTTGTCTACCCCTCTTTTTGTTTGCCCACTTCGCCTCCCATACTATTCTCGGCAATCTCTCCTCTCCCATCCCGCACATGCGATACTGCCATGTCAGCTTCCTTACGTCTCTTCCCGACCGTAGATCCAATCCCTGCCCTGACTGCTGCATTACTTGTGCGCTTGGAGCATCCTAGGATGATTTTCGCTGCTTTCATCTGCGCCGCCTCGAGTTCTTTCACTACCTTCTTATTTCCTTCCCATACTTCTCCGGCGTACTCTACCGGCGGTACGATTACGCTCTTCAAAACCGTCAATTTGATGCGTGTATCAAGGTGTCGGTTTGCGAGTATTGGGTGCAGCTTCCCTGCTCGTGCTTTGCCCTTTTCCGCTACCTTGGACATGTGTGTATTCCACGAGCAATCTTTTGCGATCTCTACTCCGAGGTATGTGTACTGGTCCACTACTGCAATCTCCTCGATCCCCCACTTCCATCTATGTTCTACTGGTTCCTCCCTGCCCTCGTTGCATACCATGACGGCACTCTTCGTAACGTTGGCAGACAATCTCCACTTATCAGTAAACTTCTTCGCCGCGTCAATTTGCAGTTGCAGTCCCCCTGGGGGGGGGGGGGGGNNNNCCCCCCCCCCCCCACAACGTGCGGGCAGGGGGGGGGGGGGGCGATCCTTCCTCACCGCCAGGGAGTATATGTGGACCATGGAGCTGTCGGGGAGAGACCGTCGGAGGGCGCCCGCGGATCGCTCGTGCAGGTCCCAGGTGACGAAGCGGGTGAGGGCCGTCAAGTCGTCGCGGCAGCGGGCGAGGGTCTCGTCCACCGCCTTCTCCACGAACTTTTCGTAAACGCGCTTCACGATGAAGCCTGAGAGGAGGAGGAGAAGGGAGTGGGGACAAAGCAGTGTAAGTGTGTACATGGGTACAAAGAGACGGGGAAAGCATACCATTTAACAGTGATGAAAACGTAGGCGCAGTGCAAATAAATAGAAGCATGGAGAGGTGGGGGAAGGCATTCCGGGCACCACCGGTGAATAGGGAAACAAACAACACTGGTACACGATTGAATAGAAAAAAAACTTAGCGTTAAGCTTGCGGCCTGAGGAACTTGTAAGAACAGGCAGGCAAGATGTAAACTGTCTTCATGCAGAGGTCAGAGAGGTCTACCAACGCGAAAAACACGGCAATGCCCACAACATCAACCAAGGCAGCACAGCAGTATCATCAACACCGCAACATGGGGGTGCAGTCAAGCATGGCCTACGAAGGGGTGGGCACAAACAAGAAACAAGACAATAAATAGTGGAGAGGTGCTTTCGAAGAAAGTAGGGGGTGCCCTGTGCACACCTCAATGTCCCTCTGGCAACCCAGCACGTACAACCTAAAAGGAAGAGCAAGGGTCGAGGAACATGCACGTGGGCTCACGCACTCACTCACGTATAACCTACTAGGAAGAGCAAGCGTCGAGAGGTTTACACACGTGGGTTAGCTCACTCACGTACAACCTAAAAGGAACAACAAGTGTCGAGGTACACACACGTGTGTCAACTCACTGAAGGGCTTCTGGTGCGTGTCGCTCATCTGCATGCCGTCGGACTTGAGCATGTGCTCCACCACCCCGAAAAGCCGTTTCATCACGTGCACCGTCCGCACGCGAAGGGCGTCCAGGGTTGGCTCGAACGACGTCCTCGCCTGGTTTCGTCATACAGCGGGGGGCACCGGATACGGCGGTCTGAATCAGGCGGTCGCCCTATATATATATAAGACGGGGTGAAACTGCCTGGTACAGACGAAACGTTCAAGTTGTTCTACACATTGAATAAGGCTGCCGGCCCATATAAGGCGGTCATTGTCAGCTGCCCCATCACCGGAATGTTCGGGGGCCCCCACTGCTGTAATCGTTTGTTTTATGTTGTCGTTGTCGTTGATGTTGTTGTTGTTGTTGTTGTTGTTGTTGTTGTTGTTGTTGTTGTTGATGATGATCTCGTTGTTGGTGATGATCTCGTTGTTGTGTTTTCTCTCATGGATGTTATTGTTGGTTTGCCGTGGCGGTCGTTTGTTGCTGCCCTTGTTGTTACAGCTGTTGTTGTTCGTTGTTAATGCTGCTATTCTCGTCGATGTGTGTTGGACGACGACGTTTGTTCCAAGACGCTTGTTGACGAGGATGCCATTTTGTCGAGGTTCTGTTGACGATGATGATGTTTTGCCATCGAGGCAGTGCTTCCTTACCTTGTCCACCGCAATGACGCAGGCGGCCCTCATGAAGTTCACCCCGTCGTGCATGTCGCTGATGCCGGCGGCGTTGGCGATCTCATCCTCCGAAACCTAGAAGAAAAAGACGAGAAATCCGCACACCACCGCAACAAGCGGAAACGTCAAAATTTCGACACACACAAAGACTTGAACCCCGGGCTCTCTTCCGCAGAAATCAGACATACTTTCCTTCGTCGCCGCCAATGTGCCAAGGACCAAGCGAGAGATCGAACCGTTCTCGACAGATGTTGGGGGAGAGTCTACAAGATGGGTGGGTTCGTGCCAGTGTCTGCTGCGAACGACTGTGGGGGTCCTGCGCTTAAGATGGAGACGGCCACCGATGCCTCCTCCCCCTCGAGTTCCCTCTTACCTTATCCTGGCCCTGTCGAGCATCGCTTCACCTTCTCGGTGTTTCTTCACCTACACCGACTGGAAGACTTACGCCTACCTGGCGGGAGTAGGCCACGCTCAACGAGCCCTGCGGCCCCTTAGAGTAGAGGGGATACAGAAACGGCTTTGACTACAACATAGCGCTCTCGCTATCGACATGGGGGGTAAACCAAACCAAACCACTCCAACCCCCATCATCTGCTGCGGACCGGGGTGGCATAAGATATTTTACCCCCTGTTTGTCCCCCGCTGGGGTCCAACCGCTTCCTCCCACACAACCAGAGCAAGTTCCAAAACCTCGATCTCAAAACCTCGCCCCAGAATTGGTCTTTGGTGACCTCGGCCGATACCATACATAATCAAACGCATACCGAAAGGTATACAAAGTAGACTGTCCCCAGAAGTGGGGGGATGAATACCAACTCAGACACACACACATACACGCATAGTCCCACGGTCTTCAGAAGCATCTTCTGTTGTAAGCCGCACGGGGGTTGGCATATTTTCATTGGTCAGCCGGAAAGCGCGGTCGACGCTAACAATAAAGACACACACACTCACAGGGTCCCACACGGTCTTCAGAAGCATCTTCTGTTGTAAGCCGCACTGGCGTCAATTTTCATTGGTCAGCCGGTTAGCGCGGTCGACGCCAAAAATAAAAACACGCACGCGTGCGAGCATACACACACCTCAGGAGCGTTCATGTGCCGGATCGCGAAGTTGAACTCGCGGAGAGCCCGGTGGTACTGCGCTCCCCCGAACAGCTTGTTCTCCCCGTTGCCGACCTCTATCTCCATCAACCTCTCCCACTGATCCGCGTCCACGTCAGAGTCCTCGATGAACGAACCGGCCCTCAGCTGCTCGGCCTCCAGCGTCTCGCCGAATTTCTCGGGCGGGGCCTAATTTTTTTTTGGGTCAACGACGCCCCATGTTTTGTCTCGTAAGGTTATAGCCTGGAAAAGGGTTGCTGTTGCTCGGTTCCGGTAATATGCTACGATTGCTGCTGTTGTTGTTGTTGTTGTCGTTGTTGTCGTTGTTGTGGGTATTTTCTCGGCCGTGTGTACTCGTCGAGACTCATGGGGCCGTACAACTACGCAAAACGAAACGAAAAAAGAGCAGAAACAAATAATGATCGGCGAGCACACTCCATTCCGTGGTTGAGGCCCCGCACCTTCCTTCCCTTCGTGACAGTGCGAATAGCCAACACAAGCACAGAGGCCTGATGGCACCCGGCACCCACCTGGTTTGAGGTAAACCAATACCTGGTACATAACGCTATCGCTCGTTTTTATCTCCGAAATCGAATGAGTTGTTCTCTTATTCTCTTAACAAGGCGCAATGCCACGCGCAGCATTTGCGATGCACTGCCTTTCTGAGAAACGAAACAACCTTCGCCCCGTCTTGCCGGCAAAATTAAAACTTCGCTGCAGTCAACCAACGCACCTTGATTGTACCCTGGATCGCGCGCCCTAGGGCCCGAGAGAAGTGTTCGCGGTACTCGTCCGCCGATGCCTTCAGGCTTTCCAAAGACAGCGCATCGATCTGAAGACAAGAAACAAGCAAAGGCCTTTTTCTTTTTTCGTCACTTATTAGCAGAGCAAGAAAAAATAGAAGAAAAAAGCCCCGGTGTATAATCCCCCCTGTGTGACCCTGGATGGTTGTAGTAGTACTCTACGTACAATGAAAGTACACGTCTCAACACGAAAAGTGGGGGGACTGTCGCCATAATAAATAGGACGAAAACACAATCGCATACAGCATTTTTGGAGCTCCAATCCGTGGTCACACAGAAGAGTTCCTCCTTCGTCGGTCTTCGTTCCCCGAAGGCTTGAGGATTTTCTTTTTCAAATGCAACAACAATGAAGGGTGAATGAAATGCAACAACAATGAAGGGTGAATGAATACCATAGGCACAAATCGTGCAGCGCGAACCACCACCATGTCACTCACAAACCCCATCACAGCGTTCACAATCATCATCATCATCATCATTGATAAAACCAGAGTATGTCATCATACTCCTCCATCCCTATATACCTCTGACCTAATCGCCACCCCATCAGTTTTAAGCCTCGACACCATCGTCGCAACCATGGAAGGTTCGTCAACGTCGCATGCTATTCGTGACAACCCTTCGACGGAACCATGAAAAAATCAGTGAACAACTGCTGTGATGCATCCGTCTGCAGCGGACCACGTCACGGTGGGGAGAACGGAGAACCACCGCAGAGATGGGAACAAAAAGAGTAAACTGAAATCCGCAGCAAACAATATCGTTCCTGATGGCGAGCAAACACTCAGATTCAACACGAACAATAAAAAGAAGGAAAGCCGTGTTGAATGAAACTAAATACCAGCACGCACCGCTGTGGCGAAAAAAAATCTCCGTATAGTACATATATATATAAAAAAATAATCATGAATAACCCTAAACAAGACAGAAAAAGTAAACTGTGGGTTACAATGAAACACGATCACGATTCACCGAAACGAACCATCATACCTCCTGCTCCGTGGTGAGCAGCCTTCCCTCCGCCCTCGACATCTCCTGCTGCAGCAAGGGAACGATCCGCGCAACGTTCCTCCGGTAGCACTCCTCCACGCGCCGTTCCAAGAACCGACGCAGGCGGGACACGCCCACGCGGGGGAGACAGGAAGGCGCGGCCTGAGGTCCTAGCTTTGCCGCGACGAGCATCTGTCTCCACCAGGCATAAGAAATGGGAGGGTTAGGAATAGAATTAGAATAAGGAGGAGGAGGAGGAGGAGGAGGAGGAAGGGGAGGAGGAGGAGGAGGAGTGAACGCACACATCAAAATTTCCGTGAAGTTCCTCAAGCGGCGGCAGATAAAAAAACAATGGTATATGCTACTACCGCCAACGAGCAACTTCTGATACCATCATGCCTACGGCCACCGCTTTTCTCTTCCCTCACGGAGGCGGTAGTGGTGGACCCACCGAGAAATGTCATTTACTTCAGCCAATAACCAATCCTGCCACCACTGTGCCTACGGCCATCTTCTACTCTTACCACCTCTACACAGCAGCAGCAGTCAGTCCACCACCACAAGCTCGAAGAACAACACCTTCAGCAGCAGCAGCAGCGACAACGACGACGAAACACAACTGCCACAAGCCCCATGCTTCTGCGGTGGCATACATACGAATACCCCTGGCTCGAATCACCTGGTCATCGCGCTCTGAGCGGCGCACCCCGTGGACAAACGCTTCGTTCGAGAAGTAAGCGGAGTCGCGGGCACGCCCCACTCGCCCAGACGGTACCGTGGTGAAAAACGGGCCTCCCAGCATGCACCGGTACATGCGCTGGATAGAAGGGGCTCTGCCATACGGATGCCGGCGAAGAGCAGGGGGGGGGGGTACCGGGCACTTTGGGACCCGTGAGGGACTCGACATCCGTACGGACGAACTACCGTATGTTGTTGTTGTTGTTTTCTTCACATTAAACTCGTGTCAGTTGCTAATCCCAAAATCTAGCAAAGACTCGGCCCGTGGTCACAAAAATGCTAAAGCCATCAGAAGATCTAAAGAACACGCACACTATTAGCAAGAAAAGGGTACACAAGCCCGAGGAGGTACACCTACAATCCCTGCAGCACGTTTGCGTGCTCACAACTGAACTACACGCCCACACACTACAATTCGACTACAGCAGGCGGCATCACCCCCCTTGTCCCGCACTTCACCAAAATGAATGTTTGTCGACTACAGCGTACTGCTGTCTGAAGTGCTGTCTGTACAAAATACCACCATGGTGTATGGTGCACAACAAGCTCGGGGCATGCAACTGCTGTCTGAAGTGCTGTCAGAATGGTCCCGTGGACATACAATGAAGAAGAACAACCAACCAAAGCCATCATTGCAATTGACAATCGCCCGAATCTATCCAGATCATCTGTGTTAGACACAGCAGTGTAAACATCGGCACTGACTAGGAATCGTTCCACATTGAAGGGGTCTTCCACGATGCAGGTACACAATTAAGGCACCCGGGTTATCCGCGCCATCTCTGCCGCGTCTCTCTACAAAACCAGTGACGTCATTACACACACCTAACACCTATATTCAGGAAAAAAAACGGAAAATAATTGACAACACAAGAGATGTTTGTCCGTGCGACACGGTTCGATGCCGTCCGCATGCTCCGGTTCCGCTGCTGCTCCGGTGCCGCTGCTCCGGTGCCGCTTCTCCGGTGTCGCTGTGGCCAGTCCTAGCACGACCAAATTCGACCCGCTCCGCTTCGTACACGCTCTCGTTGCTGTCCTTCCCAGTCGGTTCCTCGCTTTCTCCCTCGTTGCACTTAGGGTTCTTGGTCTGAAAATTCTCGCGCCGAAGGGTCAACCAGCCCAGTCAGCTCGTCACCACCTGTCCCCTCCTCGTTTGATGGCAAAACCAGGTTACTGAGACAGTACAGCTCCCTCTAGCAAGCATAGGGCCGTGTACATAGTGCCCGTCCACCTTTCTGATGGCGTCTGCCTCCGCGCACAAAGATGAGATGGGCATTGCTGCCTGCACCGACGGCCTCGAGGCCCGCGCATCTGCACCTTTGTACCTGACGCACCAGTGCCGACCCAACTCCACCACTACGCACGCCTTGCGGCGGGTGCGCCGTAGCAAGAAGGTATCGGTCCCTTGAGGATGAGTCTAGCCCTGCTCGCTAGAAAGACCCCCCCCCTCGCTTTGGGTCATGCCTAAGCAAAACCTTGCCGAGGCAGCGAGGGGAAGAAGGGGCCTCACACACTCCGTATGCATATGCCCGGAGAGATGTATGATAGAGGAGGTGCAGTACAGCGCCTGCACTAGTAACCGTCCGTTTTCGCAACCCTGGGATGCCTTCTTCCTTCTTCGTGGGTTATCTCATGGGCTCCCACGTACTTGGTGTTTTCGAGTACAGGGCTAATATAGAATAGGGTGGAGCCTTAGCTCTTAGGCATGCGTCGACGAACATGAACGAATCCTCGTGTTCTCCACTGCCATCTACTTCAGGCAAAAAAAACAGTAAAATAAAAAACTGAAAAAACGAAAATAACTCGAACCCTGTTGGATAGAGGCATGGCCAGTCTTGCATGGAGAGGCCGTCACAGAGCTACGTAGTTAGACGTGATTGGCGGATAATTTCCGTTACTTTACCTGAGGAAGTCCTGCAGGTCATCCCCACCGCCAAACTGGGGCAGCTTGGTGTCAAGCTTGGTCGTCACCAGCACCGTGCGAGACAGGTCGTGGTCCACCTAGGATAATGAAAAAAAGAAAAGGAAGTAGAGGGTGGGAGAGAGAGAGAAAGATTGAAAGAGACAGACAGATAGACGGACAGTGAGAGAGAGTGAGTGGGTAAGATAAGGGGGGGGGAGGGAAAGAGAGAGAGAGCAGGGGGGACGGAAAGAGAGAGAGAGAGAGAGAGAGAGAGAGAGAGAGAGATTAAGAGAGACAGACAGACAGACAGACAGGCAGGCAATGAGAGAGAGCGACGGCGACAACGACAACGACAGCTTAGAACCACCGCCAACAACAACAACGATGACAAGGACAACAACAACAAGAGCGATGGTGAAAAAACGCACCTGAGTTACGATGTTTCGAGTGGTAGCGTGCTTCCAGTCCGTGGTGTCCTCCACGCAGAGGATGACGTAGTCTTGGCAGCGCATCTTCTGGATCACCAAGTTCTCCGCTTCCTTAGCCGCCTTGAGAAAACGAGGCAAACAACAGCCCATAAACATCGCGGACCCGGTTGTAAAACGCGATTCGTCCAAAGTTCGGTTTGTCACGACAACGTCGGCATAGCAAAGAGAACAGACGGAGAACACTCCCTGCCTACTAGCAGATTGGCATACCTCGTTATCGTGCTCCTGCCTATTAACAGGTTGGCATACCTCCTTTTTGTACTCCTTGTCTGCCCTGTAACTTTTGCCACTTTCTCGCTAGACTAAGTTGCTCTGGGAGACATTATAAAAAGCGTGTTCTCGAGTGGCTAAGAATCTGTCTACGGCGTCATTTGTATCACCGTACATGGGGGATACGGATACTCTTTTTGATTTTCTTTGAGAGTACGGACACGGTAGGAGGAACCGGACAGATCTCGGAACGAACTTTTCCCATGGGTACAGAAAACAACAACAGCAGAAGTACCAACAAACCTCTATCTCTGTCTGTCTGTCTGTCTTGTCTGTCTGTCTTGTCTGTCTGCCTCTCTCTCTCTCTCTCTCTCTCTCTCTCTCTCTCTCTCTCTCTCTCTCTCTCTCTCTCTTCCTCCCTCTCCTACCGCTGCGACGGCGCGTTGCTCCGCATTGAGGTTACTCCCCGACGGGGCGTGGATGAGGCCCGGCGTGTCGATGAGGATCATGTTGGGGCAGAAGCGGTACTCCATGCGGATGTTGATCTCGCGCGAGTCGAACGATCGCACCGGATCTCTCTCCAGCCTGCGGTTCTCCGACTCGATGTACGCCTGAATTTTTTTTTTCCAGAGAAACAAGACAACAATAGCAAAACGGAATGAAGGGAAAAAAACAGGGATCCATCATTGTCAGAGGGATGGCGGCGGAGGAGAGGTTCCGCAAATGGACGAATGCCTAGCAACACATTTGAGACTCAATCGAAGTGGTCACGAAATCACACCTACGAAAACGGTGCGTGTCAAAAACGTCTCGGCACCCCCCTCTCCAAGGTGGGCAGCACCCCTTGAAGCAAAACACAGCATGCATCGCAGACACGGAGCCCCCGGGGAGAGGGTAGAAACATCACCCGTCCTACCGTAACGAAACACAGCGCAACCACAGACACCAAACTTGTAACATTGCGCAACAACCACAGCGGACACCATTGAAAACGACGTACCTGAATCTCTTGGAGGGAGCGCGGCTCCTCCTTTCCGTCCTCGAGCGCTAGGTAGCATCGAGGCTGGTCGCAGTCTGGGTTGTACTGCATCCGCAGCGCTATCGGCCGCCGAGTCTTGGTTCCCCCGCCGACCTGGGGTGCAAAACGTTACAGAAAACCAATGGCGTTTGTTGTGATGGCGTGTAGGTCAAAGACAAGAGCGTGGCACGTTTCTGTTGATGTTGGGTGGTGACTTATTGGAACAGAGTGGTGAGAGAAGGGGCGGCACAGCGGTGTTGATGGGAGGGGGGGGCAGGGGGGGCGATGGTGCGAATACTACACGATCATGCAACTGCTGTCTGGTGTGCTGCACCTTGTGTGCATGCATACCCCCGGAATATACTCTGGAGATGTTTTTTTCTAGCCGTTTGTCTCGTCTTTGTTGTTTCTTGGGGGCACCCGTAACGCGGGGCGCCTTTGCTGGGGTTTCAACCTTGGTACGCCCGGCTTTCTCTTCGCGGAACACGTCCCCGGGAAAATGAGCCAGTCCCAACAGCTACTACCGTAGGTGGCATGACACAAGATACCACACCCCCTGGACCGATTTTCAAAGCTCGATAATAATACTCCATGACGAAGAGGATGCCGACATCAAATGATACGTTGTCGGAAACCGTAGGTTACACATGATACCACAACCCCTGGACCGATCTTCAAAACTCGAATACAATACTCCATGACAAAGAGGAGGATGCCGAAATGAAATGATACTGTACGTTGTCGGAAGACTCTCGACGAGACGGTTTCAACGCCGCCCTTTTCGGCACCGTCGCCGCCTTTCCTGCCGAGTAGTCGAGTGTTCGAAACCGGTCGAGGGTGCGTGATATCTTATGCAACCTTGTGTAGGTGTAGGAGCACGCGAGCCATGGCTAGCCTGCCGATCTCCGGACATGGGCGTATCGATCCTGTACCGGCGAGCTCCCCTCTCTACCCCAGAGGGGAGCGCGAGAAAATTGTTAAACGTTCGCTAATGGCTGTCGCCAGAAGAACCAACTCGTAGCAACAAACCAGTTACATCGAGGCTACAGTTGTTCATAGGCGATAAATATTGGACGGCAAAGAAGAGTCTAGCCCTTCCTTCGAACACTCCTCCAAACATGCAGTGCGGCACTATCCAGGCGCGCATATCTTCGTCTCGATCACGCCGAGCAAACACGCCTCTGTGGTACGACGATCGTGTGGAAAAATTCACCTGGTTAAACTAAAATCCCATCAAGTGGAAACATCTATAATACCTGGTTGAACTGAAATCCCATCAAGGCCTCTATCAGCGCCGACTTCCCGCTGGTCTGGTGGCCCACGACGAGCACTGCCGGAGAGTCGAACGGCTTGTGAAAGTCCTGCCACGGGCGGAGGGGGCGGGGGGGACAGATCCGGGCGTAGCAAGCATAGGCATGGGTAGAAAATAAGAAAATGCGATTGCTGCGTGGTAATCTGGTTTAGGGACCGCTGACCATCGCCATCTCTATTGATGAAAACTGATGGCCTCTGTGTACGGTGGTGTAGCGGCAAGCAGAAACAACCGCGCAATATCAGGACACCGCAGTTATGAGAATTGGGGAAAATATAGATTTTATTTAGTATATTTCTAGCAAAATCCCGTGACATGCGATATTTAACGCGGTGTATCGGGACTCCGCACTATTGAGTTTTGGGGAAAATATGGCTTTTAGTATGGTAGCCAAATCCCGTGACAAGCGATTTTACCGCATAGTATCGGGGAATGTACAGCGTTTAGTATGGCAGCCAAATCCCGTGACAAGCGATGTTTTCCGCGGTGTATCAGGACCACCACTACTGTGCCCTTCCTAGACATGACCGAAATACTTGGTTTCGTTCCAGTCGAACGCTTCATCATCTCCCATGACACGGACGGGAACGAACGGAAATCCGTGGGAAGGGACGTCTCCGTTCGTGTTCTCCTTGGTGTCTTGACAAGACCCTCTCGGGTCGGGCCGTGACTGCTGCGTGTTTGTTCGACCTATTTGTTCCGGCGCCAGCCTACACAACCGTTGGTGTACATGTTTGATGCATCCATCAGCCGGGGTTACGCAGGAGGCAGATCGCACGGGAGCTTTTTTGCATAAGTGTCCCTCTTGTCCTGCTTCGGAGCTTGCCTCGTTGGCTTTTAACGGCCGAGAATGTTTCGGGTGAAGCCAGACAAAACACGCAAAAGCATCAGGACCGACGACAAAAACAACCAGCATCTATCTTGGTCACTAAGGCTTACGGTAGTTGCTGCGGCTCCCCACTCTTTGAAAAGTCGCGTCCACGTATAAATCTCAGTCTACGGGATTGGGGTGACTGCTCACAAACGCTTAGCATCATGTCTTTGCCCACTGAAAGGGGGCTGGGTTTCTCATTTAACCTGAGAGTAAGAACTACAAGTGCTGTACTAAACCCCCTCCCCGCACCGGCTTAAAACTGGCCCTCATATTCTCACACCCTTGTTCCAACCTGCTCTCTTTCGAGCGCGCGGTGGCGATATATGTCCGGTTGTCGCGGCACACGCATTGGTACGCCAAGGCCTAAATACCACAAAACCTACAGATCGGGAAGCAGGGTGATGTTATGGTGAATGAATACCCTGCCGTACGACATCATTGGTCAGCTGGGCTTGATGGATGACAGACAACACAGACTAACCCAACAGGATGACGGGGAAAACGAGAGACACATAACGCTGATATTTCCCTCGGCGGGCATCTGTTCGCCAGGGGGCTGGCTGTCCGTTCGATCCGGGAATAGTCGAGGTCATGGGAAAGCCAAAGAGGGGCCTACGGTCTGAGGCAGCAAGCACCCCTTTCATGCTTCGAGAGGCGAGGAAGGGTAGGGGGGGCCCAACCCCATAAATGGGTTTTTCGTCTCTTTTCATGTCAGAGGGACACTTTGAGTCGACTACATACAAGCTCACGGAATCCCACGGGTTGAGTTTCGAAACGCTGGACGCGACGCCACACACACATCAAACCCCCCAGGCGGGGGTACAAAAACACTGGTGCACGGAAAGGATACGCATATCCAAGAGTCTCCTTCCCCTGCGTGCCCCAAAACGCAGCGTGTGGGCCAAGGTAGCTGGTGTGGGATCAGTCCTCGTTCCGCAAGGTGTTCTTTCCAACAATTATTGTGTACTCCGTATGTGCGGGATGCCATCAAGAAACGTCCGGAAAAGCGCGGTTCGTGGGTGTGTATGTTTCTAGTGGGACGTCACCTTGATTGCATCATTCCAGCACAGCACACCCAGAGAACAAGCAAGTCACGCTGCTTCGTGCTTTGTTCGCTCTACAACCTACGGTAGTAGTAGCGGTCGACTGCCTCGTTCTCTTCGTTTCCCCGTTGGCATAGAAAAAGAAACAAAGGGCATGCGTGTGCCGTTGCCAGGCGAGGCAAATAGCACAGCGTATAGCGTGTGGTGTTGTGCACGTGTCCCAACAATACATGGGTCGGACTGGAACCCAATTCTGGCAGTTGGGATCTTTCGCAAGTCCGACTCTCTTTCTTTGTGAATCCTGTCACAGCTGTCTTGCATCTCTCTCTCTCTCCCTCTCTCTCTGAGTGGGGTTGATGGAGGGTCAAAAGCAATCTATCGCTTCAGGCGCACCTGTGCTAGCGTGTGCAGCATGTTGTACGCATCGTACAGAGTCTCCCTCTGGGCATGCTTGTCGGCCTGCTTCCTCCTGCTGCTGCTCCTGCCCCCGCCCCCTTCTGCCGCACCGCCCCGGAGTTGCTCCACCGCTCCCCACCCTCCTGGCCTTACCCATCCCCCGACACCCACCGACGGCACGTTCGCGTTCGCCGACACCGCACCCGAGGTCTTGCAAGTAGCCACCGACAGCGCCGTTGCAACCAGGGCCCATAGCCCGATCCTGCACCGCGGTCGGCGCCTGCTGCCGTGCGAGCTGCCGTTGCTTAGAGCTGGCGCAGCAGACCAGGCCATGCTTTCCGACGAGAGCAAGAAGATGATGGACTGCTTCAGCAGATAAGATTCCTCCCTCTTTCGCCGACTGTGATTCGCCCTTCCAAGTGACAGTTGCCAGCTGCTGTGTGTTTCGCAGGCTTGCCACCTGCGCGTCCGAGCTGTGTGCGTTGTTAGAGGTGCAGCCTGCTTGTGCCGCTACCGGATACACCCACAGATCATTCAGAGACCCCGTGCATCATGCACTCACGGAGCCCCCCTTTGCGCCAAAATGTTTTGTCCAAAGACATCATGACATGTATGATCTTTGGTTTTGTCTTTTCTGCGCCGGGAAAAATCTGGTGTGATGACATGACGTTGCGCGTTTGTGAAGTGGAGGCGGAAGGTCGAATCTTGCCATCTCGGCTCACCTATTTGAAGTTTGTTGGACGCTGCGCCTGAGTAAATTCCCATGTATGATTGCGACGCTCCTCTTTCGCTTGATCAACGCGGAGGCGGTGCTTTCTCCTTGTAGAAAGTTGACATCACTTGTTTTTTCGAAGAGTTTCTCGGAAGTATATATTTTGTTCTCCGGTTGCAGCCCTAGACTAGAGGGTACTTTTCTCACGCGCGCACGTGCCGTCCACTATTTACTAACTCTCCTGTTCGATACACCCGCCTGGAGCCAGACTCCCAGTAAATTAACCAACAATTGTTGCATAGATTTCCAACGTTTTTTCGGCCCGCGTCCTTGATACATACTATACACACGTTGTTCCAAGCAAGGCGGTCCTACAACATGTGTTTGGGAAGCACGAGCTATAGTCTACACCCCGCTTACACCCCTCGGCCTATGCATATATTGTAGCACTCACGACACTCAGGATGCAGGTGCACTCCCTGCCACGCTGATCTGGGGTTGCTCATTATGTTCATGTAAAAGCGTCCAGATAACATGTAACCATAGTCGTACCTGATCTGGTGTCGTTCTCCTTTTTGGTGTCGAGAGCAGGGGGCTCAGTAAACGAGGACATATTCCGGCGGCGCAATTCGCCCCCCCCCATGGTCTAACGACTGCGGCATGCACGACTATGAGTACACCCCCCCCCCCCCCTATTCTCTTGCAAAGTGGGGAGCGCTCCGACGCTTCGTATGCACACAGCAACACACACCTTCCGCCAGGTCCGTGGGCGCGATACGTAGCAAGTGGAATTCACATAGATTATGCCGCAGCAAGAAACTCAACTGAAAGAAAAAGAGTAACTATACCGGATGTGTGTCTGAAGACCACTTCATATGCAGTCAGTCGTATGCGTTGTCTTCATCGCGGTTCGTATCTAAATTAACCAGAGAGAAAAAAAGTGAGGAGATCAAGAAGGAAAGACTTCGTCGTGGCAGGAAGCTACGAACGGGAGCAAATTTCAACAGAGCAACAGCAGCAGAGGAGATCAACGCAGTCGTAGCAAACGGCGAAAGATATAGAGTGCGTGGCATACGTTTGATTCCTTCCCCGCGCGCGGGGTTGTTGTGCGTAAGTCGCATTTTCCTACGCAAAACGTTATTACGCCGCGGCGATGTCCAGCTCACCCCGGTCAACACACTCCTTCACGCCTTTGACTCTAGGATGGCATGAATATACATGCGCGCAACCGGGCAATGTGCCTGCGAGTGAGGCCTGGCAGCAAGTCAACCAGGCAGGATGCTTTGTTGCGCTTGAATTTCATTGCAAACTTGGAACGACATATTCTTAGGCTCTGTACCGATAGCAAAATGAGCCAGCCTGTCACATTTGCTGCTGTTGGTGCCTACACACACAAGCCAGGCCTACAAGCAGCAGACACCCGCCTCTCCCTTGTCCCATATTCGGGACCTCCTCCCTCTCCCGCCCTCAATACCCGCGCGTGCTAATCCCCCACCTGGAATATGCGTCATGAAATATTCCACTGGATACAATATCCGACCACACTGTGTGCCTTTTGGATAAAGAAGTTGGAGACTTCTCGAGGGTATATCTCATTGAGAGTCATAAGAGCGAACAAGCTTCGCCACTACCCCCCGCCCTCCATGTTTCGGAGGACGCTAACACTCACACACACAGATGAGTAGGCCTGGTCTCCCCAGCAACCCATTGTCCGCTCGAGGCAATATGCCAGCACCGCCTCAAAGACTATCCCCCCCCCCCCCCCCCTA